TGGTACTTTCCTACTCAGCAGATCTGATTGCTGTACACACTCCAAGTCACATCTGCTGACTACAGTGACAAATGGAAGTTTTTATGGCTTTCCCACTCTCTGAGCACTGCAGAACCAGGAGAGCTGGGAAAACAGAAGCTGTGACTTCTGGTGGGACTAATTGCTATGAATTACATGGGCACTGCTTGGCCTTGTGAAGCTTTCCCATTGCTGCCACTGGTTAGAAGCAAGGAAGAAGAACAGAATCCAAGGAGGTTCTGTTGATTCTGTTTGGACTGCAGATGGCATTTTTGGGTTTGCAGTTTGAGGCAAAAAGAAATCTGTTCATCAGTGATGATCACATTTCAGAGAATCATCAAATCATTAAGGTTGGAAAAGACCACTAAGATCGTCTAGGCCAACTATCAGCCCACCACCACCATTTCTAATTGACTACAAACCTCCCATTCGTTCTTTAAAGTGAGCTACTTGTACACTTGCTTCCCAGCCTGTAACATGGGGATGCTGTTGTCAATTTTCCATCAGCCCGATGTAGATTCATTGCTGCTCCATTCCAGTGACTGCTGTTTAAAGGGAGGAGTAGGTCCCTTAATGCAGATGCTACCAGCTGACATAAAGGTGAATCATAAAGCAAAACTACAGAGGGAGATGTGCACTGATTTACATGCTGGATGTCCCCAATATTCAATTTGGGAAAGTCATTCAGCAGAGAAATTAGCGTTAACTATTTTAAAATTGCTTTCACCTTCTGTGCCATGCCCTGACATAATTAAGAGGCCTGATATTGTCTCACCACTGATGCCAGGAGCTGCACTGTAATGTGCAGTATTCTGATGGTGGTGAGGCACTGGCACAGGTTGCTCAGAGAGGTGGTGGGTGCCCTGTCCCTGCAGACACCCAAGGTCAGGGTGGATGGGGCTCTGAGCACCTGATGGAGCTGTGGGTGTCCCTGTTCATTGCGGGGAGTGAGACCAGAGGGCCTTTAGGGGTTCCTTCCAACTCAGATGGTTCAATGATTCAGTTAATAAACCATATAAATGAACAACAAAACAGTGCTCTCAGGGGATTTCTGAGCTGAATTCTGCCTGCTTCCCTGTGCCTCCTTCTATCTGTTTTCAGTCTGCAGACTTTTTGTTGATAATGCAGAAGCCTGTGATTTTGGCAGGTTATGCGGGGTAGAGAAACTTGCAGTGTATGGGGGATTTGCAATATCAGATGGGGGAAAAATACAGCTATTTTGGTTACAGTGATTATCAGTGTAATGTTTAACCTTGAGGTACACAGCCTGGATTCAGAGTCAGTTACCCAGAGAAATGAAAGGGGAAGCGAAAACCTCTCCAATACATTAAGTGCTCTGCAAGCTTTAGAGCACAGCAGAGCATCAGTTACACGTGCTTCACATGTTAAAAACTTTCCTGAGACCTTTAGAGATTAGAAATAACAGTGGAGGGGGCTGAAAACAGCACCTCTCATTTGGAATCATGGCTTCATAGCGAGGGGTGAACCGTGGCTGCTGAAGCCTCTGCCTGGAGCCTGGTGGGCCCATTGCTGACAGTACTGCATCCTGGGAGGAGCATCGGTGTGGGACCAGGAGCAGCCAGTGGTGAATCAATGGCTGAGCCACAAAAGCTCTGCTGCATTTTAAAATAAGCTCTCATTGATTTTGGTTTGCTGTAAGGTCTCGCTACGCTTATCCAAAGATGGAACCTCTTTGTCCAAGCATTGCCATTGCTGGAGGAGACCCCCAGTCAAAACAGAACAGGGAGTGAGGATGGATCCAAGGGGAGTTTTGGGTTCCTAACTGAGGAGTGAATGGTGTTTAACGTAGCCACAGAAATGCAACCCTTTCTTCTTCCTTTTCTTCCCCTCTATCTCCCTTACAAAAGAGAACGAGTACCCTTTCTTTTTACATATTTCCACATTATCTCTTTTTTCCTATAAAGGTGTTGCAGCACTAGAAATACTGATTCATAAACAGATACCCAGATTGTACAATTCAGAGATGTAAAACCAGAAGGGACTATTCTGATCATTGCTGATGGTTTGTTCCATCAAGCACCAACATCCCAACATCCTTCTCTTCATATTAGAAAGATTCAGATTTGATAGGTGGACTGCTCGATGGACGAGGAACTGGTTGTGAGATTGTACCCAGAGAGTGGTGGTCAGGGGCTCAGTGTCCAGATGGAGATCAGCGATGTGTGGTGCCCCTCAGGAGTCAGTGCTGGGACCAGTGCCCTTTAATACTTTAACCAACGGTGAGATTGAATGCACCCTTATCATCCCTATCCCTGCAGACACCCAAGGTCAGGCTGAATGGGTTCTGAGATCCTAACAGAGCTGTGGGTGTCCACATTCATTACAGGGGATCGGGACCAGATGGCCTTAAGGGCCCCTTCCAACTCAAACGATTCTATTCTAGCTCTGGAGTTCTTTTTGATTTCTTTTCAGGACGGCTGTCCTGACTGCTGATACAGGCATTCCTTATGCTTTGTCTCCAACTTACACAGCGTTTAGCAAGATTGCCCTGAAAGAAATCGCCCTGACCTATGAAAAATCTGTCCTTTAAAAGTGTGAATATTGGATGCAGAATGCCACCAAAATGAATTAGGCAGGCTCCAGCTTGGTTGAAATCCAATAGAAAGCACTATAAGAATAGATAAGTGAAACACCGGGGTGAGTGTAACAAAGAAACCACTGATGTTATTTTCAGTAGCACAACAAAGAGAAAACAAACAAACCAAAACACCACAAAATTCTACAGAGAACAAATTCTTCATGAGGAACGTCTCAACTCTTTTATGCAGAGAATCAAGCATTTAGCAGGTGCAAGCAGGTAGGATCTCACTGCACTATCTGCAAAACACAGCCTTGCTTTACTGACCTTTATAAATGGAAGTACAGAGGAATTTGTTTGTTGGCTTCATGTGGTAGAACACAATCGTAGCAAAACCTTTTGACTTTCCTCATCCTCTCCTGTATTATTTCTGTATTCCCTCTCTGTAATTCTCCCCCCCTCCTCCAAAGCCAAAAAAGAAGCACCTTAGGACTCTGCTCACCTGCCCCTACTCAATGAGAATCACCTGCATCTGCTGCTGTGCTGCTTTGAAAGAGCCAAAGCACAGCACATAAAACCCTAGGAGAGCAGCTGGGACCTCATGGTGCCCCAACTCTTGGTTGAAGAAGGAAGGCAGAAGAACTGGTATTTTTTTTCTTGCTGGTGGTAAGTTCTGAGCTTCGGTAATTCTTTGCTATTTGGTAAAGCATGTTTACGTGTTCCAGGAGCTGATGGTGTAAATGTTTGTTCTTTGTGTTACTCAGCTGTAGGCTTCTCAACTGGGGGGAAAAAAAATTAAGAAGGAAGCAGGAGTAAAAATGCTTCCTTGGCTCTCCTCCAGGCCTAAGAGGTGTTTAAAATAAAACAACATCAAAACATCAACCGCCCTGAAACAAGCTATGTGTAAGATGCTATTTTAAAAATGGTCTCCTTGTAGAAAGAACATGAGGGGAAGGTGACCTCTAAAGTTGGAGATACTGAAGGAGAATCTGTAACGGTAGACTGCTAATGGTACTGCAGGCCTTGCTTTCAGATCAGAGATGCTGAAGTTGGAAGGGACCATTCAGGGCCCTCTGGTCCAACCTCCCTGCAATGAACAGGGATCCATAGAGCTCCATCAGGTGCTCAGAGCCCCGTCCAGCCTGACCAGGTACTCCTGTACATCTTCTGTAAAGATAGTCAGAGAAGCTACAGGAAAGAATGGCACAAACTCTTTAGCAGGGTCTGTCTTAATAGAGCAAGGGGAAATGGTTTCAAGCTCAAGAAGGATAGATCTGAGTTGGATGTAAGGAAAACTTTTTTTACAGGGAGGATGCTGAGGCATTGGCACAGGTTACCTAGAGATGTGGTCGAGGCCTCTTTCCTGGTGATTTTTAAGGCAAGTGTGGATCAGGGCCTGGGCAACCTCACAGAGCTATGGTGCCCCTGTTCATAACAGGGGAGTAGGACTAAGTGACTTTTAAAGGTCCCTTCCAATTCTAAGGATTCTATGATTCTGTAGGATGCCCTTGTGATTAGATTCTGGTCCTGGCTTTGGACTAAGAGCTGAAGGCCAGCCCAGAGCACAGCTTGTGTGTTGTCTGAAGAGGTGATCTGGAAGCTGAAACTTCCTTCAGATGAGGAGGAAACTACTAATGTATGTGGTCTCAAGTCTGTCCTGAGTGATGTGAACAGTGTGAAGAACCATCCGCCTCACGGTGGAGCACACCAGTGCCCTCTGCTTAGCAGCAGCACGTGCAATCCTTATAACCATCAACTGCTTGCTTTTCCTATGCAGTTACCGGACCCTTTAGAGGTGAGCTAAAACGCACTGGGGACAACAGCTGGCTGCCACCACACCGAGCCCGTCCGCTTGGTGCAACTCCCTGGGGCAGCGTGGCAGCGGAGCTCCTCGGCCTCCCGCACCTCCGGCTGACAGCTGCGGTCCCGGGGAGGGGCTCGGGGTGCCCAGGGCTGCTCGGGGGCAGGCGGGGCTGAGCGGTCCGCCCAAGCGGGGCGGTGTCTCCCGCTCTGCCGCCCCGCCTCGGCCGCGCGGCCCCGGGATGCTGCGGAGCGGAGCTGCGGGCGGAGGGAGGCAGGTGAGCCCGGAGGGGGAGCGGCTCGGGGAGCCGGCTGTGTGCTTGTGTACGTGGGGATGATGCGAGGGCGGCTGGGCAACATCCTTCTCTTCCTAAGGAGGATATTTGTTTATTCCCCTCTTCTCCCGGTGTTCGCTCGTTTCTAATTGATTATTATGGTTTTCCACTCGCCTTCAGGCTCTTTGTTCTCAGAGAGCGGAGCGCTGGGGCTGGGCCCTGCGAATGGGGATGGGGAGTTGGGGGGGAGGCTCGGGGCCGCCGGCTCCATTTCATTCCCAGCCTCCGCGGTGTGGTCCCGGCGCCTTTGGGGCCGGCGGCTGCTGGGAGGGTCCTTCGGTCCCGGCACGGCTCTCTGTCGGTGCGGCATGGCGATGGGCAGCGGCGGTGTTGGGCTTTGTGCTGACATCCAGCTAACCTGGAAATGCAAGTAGGGACAACAATGGGGTGAGTCTGTGTGCGGCCAGCGGGCGTGCTGGTGCAGTCGGATCTTAAGCCACTGCTAATCCCATTCCTTCATCAAAAAGCAGAGTGAGCGCTACATAAAAATGGCCCGACAAGGTTGAGTTAATCTGCTTCATGGTCTCCCAGGTGATCTGTTGTGTCTTGCTGTCTGTTGTGTTGGGCACTGACATTTCTGACTGTTGGAACCCAAATGCTACAACTCCATTCTCAGTGAACCTGGAGGATGGCATTGCCAACGCTTATGGTGTTTGCAAACTGTTAGGCTCTTTGGCCCTGTTCTTAACACCCTTTCTTCCCATCCTTTTAATTGCTCAGAAATCTATCAGACCTCTGACTCCTGGAGTGCTGAGACCTGACATGGGTCAGGAGCCATGGAGGGCTGAGTGCAGCTTCTAATTGCAAAGCTGAGCAGGGATTTACATAGGTGGTCAGTGCCTTTCTGAACAAAGCGAGCGTTTCTTCACAGCTGGGGGAATAATGCCTAAAACATGCTGCCTTCCAGCAGTAGCACTCTGAGAAGAGACACAAATGCTCCAAGTGGAGGTAATGCATTATGCATCAAGGTGCCTCGCAAGGCCAGCTTCCTACCAGGCCTAAAAGAATAATAATCTAATCTCTTTGCTTATAATGATTTGTCCTCAAAGCTAGGGGAAGGTGTGTTTCTCTGGGTGATATGCAGCTGTGCTTGCAGAGTTCAGCTCATCCATCTCTGGCTATGCCAGCGTGGGGCTGTGTCATTGGGAAATCATCAGGAGCCATTGGAGGTGGTTGAGATGCTGTAAGAGCACTGGCTCCTCAGTTGGCTTGATGTAACTGTGTGAGGGCAATAGAAGATTAAATGAAGGCAGTCTTCCCTGTTGTACAAAAGTAGGAGTTGGAGCTCTGCAGTGTTGTGTGTTATCTGCTGGCTTTTGTATTCAGCACAAGTAATAATGCTTGGATAGCATGTGTTAGCACTCCAGTAACACAGCACTTGATTTCTGGTTGACTTGCACATTTTGGCTAAATCTTCACATTAAATCTTCACACTGTGGAGATTTTTTTTGTCCTTTTTCCATACCAAGTGGTAGATGAATTGCAGGGCTGAACATCTAGAACTGTTCAGCTAGTCGAAGCTACCATTATGAAGCTTGTACTGGAGGTGCAAAAAGCTGTGTTCTGCAAGGGCAAGGCAGTGACTTGTCTGAAGCTGACCTGTTAATCTCTTGTGTACTCTGCTATACAATGCATGCAGCCACTTCAGCTTCAGTGCACAAGTGTCTTCTCTATGTGGAAGAGGAATTGTTAGGGCAGAGTTATTAATTCAAAACCTGATCATTTCCTTATTTCAGCAATTTGGCAAGTTCTTGTTGTATTTCTCCAGCAGTAAGAAATAGAAGCAAATGATGGTCATGCAGGTTTTCATCAAGTAAACTGGGCAAGACCCTGAGAAGCTATTCCAGGGGATGGCTGCATGCAGCTGGGCTAGAAAAGGGTTTCATGTGTTGCAATGTGGATCCGTAGATTGCAGTTCAATTGAAAGAGAGGGATTTGATCTGCTCAGTGCTTGTCCCTTCAAACCTGCTGTGTTGGAGTGATGGTGCCTGAGCTGACAATACAAACAGGTCTCAAAACTCCATGGAAGGAGTTAATGACTTAATAGAACCTGTGAAGAACGATTGTATGGAGAAAGGAGGTAGCCTGGTTCAAAGAAACAGCTGAGTCTGAGACTGAGTCACCACGTGAAGTGTTTACATTCGCCCCCAGTTTGGTGACTTGCCGTAGTAGTAGGTGGTTCTCAGTCTGATGGGCAGCTCTCAGAAATGCCCTGTTCTGGCACCTCTTGTAGCCTTGCAGCTCTTTGTGCTTCTTCCAGGCTCACTAGGTGTTAAAGGCCACTTTTCTCTGTACTAAAGATAAAGCTGTTTGCTTGCTTGCAGTTGTGCTGCTTTAGCAGATGAGGAGCTGCATCTCCTGGGACTTCTTATTATGTGCAGGGGAAGTGGCTGGTGTTGTCTCCTGCCTCCTTCCTATTGGAAGCAAGGATTACTGTTTCGCAGACTGCTGCTCTGTAGCTGTCCTCCAGGGCTTTAGCTTGGGGGATTCTGAGTGAAAGCTGGGTACAGAGTGGAATACTGGGTTATTCCCCCAGCTGCGAGCTGGAAAGGAAAAGCCTTAATCCTACCATAGAGGAGCTGCTTGGTCAGAGCAGCTTGCTTTATCACTGGGTTAAGGCTGTAGAGCAAACTGACTATATAAGTAGCCAGGCAGGAGGAGAGATGTAGCCCACTACAGCCTGAGAGCCAGGCTGCTGCAGCCAGCTGCTAAGCCCTAGATCAATTCTGTGTTAAGTGGAAGTGCTACGGCAAGGTGTTAAACTCTGCTTAAGTAGCTAGCCAGGTCACTGCTGTTCACACACGATGTAATCCAGCTTCTTTCTAAAGTAGGTCTTAAGCTCTGACTAATCTCTGAAGATGAACTTGTGCCATTATCCTGCAGCGTGCTCTGTGCCACTGTCTCTAGATCTTATTGAATGTAGAGGTCTAGGTTAGCTTAGATCTGGTGGTTGTAGATGTCCTTAACACAGAACTTTCTGCTGCTATCTCTGCCCTTTACCCAGGTAGAGCTGTGGCTGACAGTGCTTCTCAGCCTGGAGGAACAGTGTGAGGCTGCCCAAAGTTCCTTGGGAACTGCAGTGATAGGCTTACACAGAGTATTACCCGTGTTATCTCCTAGCCAGAAGGAGGAAAGGCTCTTAAATAGAATGTTAAAAAGAAGCATTAACAGGTCTTTAAGATCCAGCCTGCTATGGAGCAGCTTTCCCTTTTTGCTTTATTCCCAGCCCTATTGAGGATGGAATAAGCTTGTCCAGGAAGAGATCCTTTTCAATATTCCTCTTAACATCCTCTGAGTGTCTTAGGCTATTGGAGAACCTAGAGCTGGAAACCTGAAGATGTGTATGTACACATTTATAGAGTGTTTGACTGCAGGATGAATACTATGCCCATCTTTCATGTACATCTGATGTTGTTCAGGCTTAACTATTGCTAAAATGTCTTGAGTACCCTAAAGACTACTCATTTCTTCAAGGAAAACTGTATTTTAATCTAATTTGCACCTTCACTTCGTTTAAAGTATGAAAAACAAATCTCGATGCTTTGTAGTCTGATCTTAGCTGACCGTTGCTGAAGGGGTGTGATGTGAATGTGTTTATATTCATACAGCAAACCAGATGCATGCTATTGGGCACTATGACTTGTACAGCGTAGTCCTGGTGATTTTTCACTACAAAAGCATGTAAAGCATTAACCTGGAAGAGGGTTGCTGAATGATGTCAGTTCTCTATTACTACTTTCTGTAGTGAAGGATGAAGTAGAGGAGATAGATGTGTGGATGCTGGTCTTCTGGAGGTAAGAAGTGCTGGGAGGTGTCTGTGCTGTTGCTGGTGGACAGGTTCTTGGTGGCTTCTGTCTAGAGCCTGAGCACCTGGTGTATGTATGTGTGTGGCCTGTGCCTCCCACAGCCCTAGCAGTGGATGAACAAGGCTGTAGGGAGTGTTGGAAAAGTCACTTGGTGTCAAATGCTGTGGGCTCCAGGCTCCAGCAACCTGGTTTGTGGCTGAATGCTGCGATAGGTTACAGCTAAGCTTATGGATCCTGAGATGCTTAGCCCTCCTGAGGGCCTTCAGCTAGAGAAATCTGTGCTGTGTAGAGTAAGAGGCCCATTTTCTGATCAGATTACACAAATAGCTGTGTGACCTACTATGATATGCTTTCTAGTTGTCTCTAGCTGATTGGACATACACAATAACTTCTTCCAAAAGAAGAGACAAATGTGTTTGAGCAGCAGGGCACAGAGGGCCTTTGTGTTGGATGCATTAGCACAAATGGGGTATTTCTGAAATCCCTCCCCCTGTGGCAGAGGTTACCTCTCATGCAGCATCGCATGGCCGTGTGATGGAGTGTGGGGGAGTGATACACCCTTGTAACAACAACTGCACTGTGTGTACAAATGGGACTATTTACGTGCTTGCTGTTTGGATGCACAAACAGAAAGCATAGTGAGGTGGGGAAGCATGACTCACCCTGGTGTCCTTGAGCAAAGGTGACCTTTGCTTATTTCCATGAAGATCAAGGGGTGGTTTTGACAGTCCCAGCCTTTCCTTCTTCGTATCTGCTGTCCCTCTTCCACTTACAGGTAGAAGTGGTTCTCATGGAACTGAGCAAGCACTGGCCAAATGAAGGGGAGCTCTATGGCTGCTTGTACTTGATAGGTCAGCCTTGCAGTGCTAACACCTTTTTTAGTTTCTGCAACTGTGCACATAGCTGATTGGAAGCCTTAGGCCTACTTGTGTGACAAGCATCATGCCTCCTTTCTGTACTTGGAGGACAAACAGGTTTATCACCAACTTTTACTTGGAAGTTTAATGCCTGTTGGGTTGACAGCTAGGGTGCTCCATGGGGCTAGGGCTTGGCAAGGTCTGCATTGATCTCTGTATTGAGATTTGATTTTTTTATTTTTTATTTTTTGTAAGGCATAAGGCTTGGGTTGGTTAGAACAGTAAAATGAGGCACGGGGATCTGTTGGTTGGAATGTGTAGGAGGGTTCAGTGCAAAACTGATGAGTTCCAAATGTGGAAGTCCATGTCATCTAGTTATTTATGGCACTGGGTCAATATGAGAGTTCAATATGTGTTTATGGGTACGTAATCTGGATTCTTTTTTCCCTCTCTAGGTCTTACTTTTTGGACTTGTCAGCCTTGTGGACTTCTATGCATGCCTCTTCAGCTATGAGTAGATCAATAGGACTTAATATCTGCATGGTAACCCGCTGCATCCTGCTCTTATCCTCTGGCCTGCCATGCCTTGCGTATCCACTGCTGGAGGAGAGGGATGTGATGAAAGCCCAGTACAGCTCGTGGGCAGGGAATGGGGTAGAAGATGAAAGGACAAGCATGCCAAACTTAATGAACAAGCTGAGCCCTTCTGAGCAAACCCTTTCTGAGGAGCCATCTGGAGCATCAGCAAAGCCATCTGGGATGCCCCTAAGTGAAGCTTTCACTTCTGAAAGAGAAATGTGGCCTGTAAGCCCAAGACGTACCATTGTAGGCAGCCAGGGTCTGGATGTCAGCACCACCATACCTGGGGTACTGGCTGCTGTAGAAGAGGAACTCAGTCCCACCAAGTCAGAACTGAATGAAAACGGAGAGTTCAAGGCCATGCTGACTACAGCTGTGACCACCCTGAGCCCTCCTGTTCGGGAGGAACCCATCAGCGTGACCACCACAGAGGACTGTGAGGTGGGGCAGAGCTCTGCCAGCCTCCTGGCAAACCCTCCTTTTGTCACAGCTGCTGCAGAGGAGGAGATAGCAGTGAGCAGCTTGTACCCCTCAGCTGTACCCCAGCCCCACAGCGAGCAGGTGCCCACATCACAGCCCAGCACTCCCATCCTGGAAAAGGCAAGTGACTACCTCATCATCCCAATGGCACAGGCCCCGAGCGAGAGTTTTGAGGTGGGAATGCCAGAAGCCAACACAGGCAATGCTCCGAGGGTACTGGCTTCACAAGGAGCCACTGCTACTAACCATCCCCTTGTGACCACTGAGGCCTACCTTCATCTGGGGGCAGACACAGCTGTGGAGCAAGGAGAGCAGCCCACTGCAGCAAGCACTGCCTCCAGCCTCCCTACTGATTCCATGCCCCCAGACTGGGATGACACCAAGCTAGGGAGTACAAGTCAAAGGGAAAGCATGCAGCATGAGGAGGTGGGAGAGGACCAAGTGGCAACAGAAACATCCCAGATCCCACTAGGAGTTATGGAAGAAGAGGAGGAGGAGGATGTGGCAAGAGTGCTGCCATCCCCAGCATCTGCTCCACCAACTCCAGGGCTTATAAAGGAGATCAACTGCACAGCCCCTGCAGCAATGCATGAAGAAGATGTATTGGTTACTTCCACAGCCAGCAGTGGTGTTTCCCTCACAGGGGACTTGCCAGATGTAGACACAGGTGGTCTGAACTCTCTGGAAAACATAAACATGGTCACAGCAGAAGAGAAGAGCATCCTTCCTTCACAACCTGAGGCTCCTGTGATAACAGACATAACACCTGATCTCTCTTCTACTCTGGAGAGCTCACAGGAAGGTAAAGCCTGTCTGTTCACAGACACTTGTTTCTAAGTATTAATTTAGGAGGGATGCTCCTTAGAGCCTGTACTTCTTTTTTTAGAGTTTAAGTGCAAAAAGGTGTGATCTACCTCCCCTAGGAAGGAAGGGTTGTGGACCTTTGTATGGGGGTAGTGGCTTAAATGGGTAACTTGCATGCATCAGGTACTCCTCATGTTGAATGTTTCTACACACGGTGACCCTTTGCCAAAGCTAACGTAGTCCTTTGGGTGGTGTCCTACCCTGAGTGATGTGAAGTAACTGCCCTAAGCTGTGCCTTCTCCTTGAGCTGAGAGGATGAGTTTAGTAGTGAACAAGAGCTGAGTCTGGAGAGGCTGTGGCAGCTGGGAATGAAGGATGCAAGTGAAACTGAAGGTCTCAGTAGAAAATTAGAGTCTCATTAGCAGCAACTTAAGGCTTGCTAAGGAGAGCATGTTAATGACTTAGCAAAGCTTTCATGTGCAGTGTACCCCTAAAGCAGGCCCTTCTGTTTTGATGCTCCCATAGCAGTTGAGAAGGGTTGCCATAGCTTGGTTGTAGACATCTCACCTTGATCAGATGTAATTCTGCTTTGAGTAGTCTTCTAGTGTGCCTTTCCCTTGACTGGAGAAGATGAAACAAGTTGTACCAGTAGAGTGTGAATTAAATCTTCTTGGCCTGTGCAAGGATGGTCAGAGCAGATTTAAAATCAAATCTGTGGTGAGATCTGTGTGTTTCTTTGTTATAGAAGCTCCTGATGTTGTCTCCTTACCTTTCAGTCAAAGCTCTGATTCTGCTGTGTTTGTGTAGCCTTAGCTGCATAGGTGACACCTTCAGCTCTCTGACAATGTTTCTAGGTGGTCTTTAGGGTCAAATGTTGGGGGCTTCTCTGGGGCAATAGCATGCCTAGGTTGGTTAGGAATGTGAGCTGTGGCTAAGGACTTTTTAATGTCTATTGGGCATCTTTAATTTTGTCCCTTGGGCTACAGAGACAAAGGGACAACTTCCTCTGTGCTACATCCAGAAGATGTGTTTCCTGCTGTAAGAGATGCAGAGTTAATTGCATGCTGGTGCTGAAACAAGACTGATTAATTTCTAGATTAATTTATAGCCACTTGACTTCTCACCAGGTTCCCTTTTGCTATTCCCAGGTGTTGGGAAAACATCAGCTATAAATAATGCTTATGCAGTAGAAAATAAACTCTGCACAACTTGATTCTCTTAGCTCTGAGAGTTAGTCACCAAAAATGCCATGCAGACAGCATTGCTTGATTCTTATTTTTTTTTTTTTTCCTGTTTCCATACCGTGGACTTGCAGTGCTGTGATAGATCTACTTGTCTATAAAGGGGTGGCTAGCCAATCAAGGCTTGTTTTGTTTTGTTTTTTACTTTTGTGCTATACATGGGGCATCACATGTTTCTAAGCTGCTAACTGGCTAGATCTGCTGTTTACACTGTGACTCTGGAAGTAATATGTGATGCCAGTCCTTCAAATGTCTGTTCTGTTACTGTCAGCTGTCCTGTGAGTTGGTGCTGATGCTGCTTCTTGCTGCAGGCCTTACTCAGGAGGTGACAACTATTGCCCAGGAGGCAGCAGCAGCTGCTGCTGCTCTGACAGCTGTGACGCTGCTGCCTGCTCCTGCCCAGGGGACAGGAGCTGCAAGCCTTCCCCAGGAAACCAGTGGGGAGGACACCCAGATGCTGAGTGCCCCTGTTGCCACCCAGATGCTGACAGCTGCAGGCACCTCCACAGTGAGAAGTCCAGGTGTGGAAGGTAGGTTCAAACTTTGCAAGTTCTCTCCCACAAAGACACAGTGGTGCATAGCACCAATTTTGGTGTTTGTACACTGAAGTCTTCACACAGCATCCAGAGTCAGACTTCCTTTTTTCCTTGCCTTCTGGCCCTGGGCTGCTGCTGCTTTATGCCCATGCAGATCAGTCGTGTTAAGATGTGCCAGCAGGTTGTAATCTTTGTCCCAAGCAAAAATGAAGTAGCTATCCTAAACAAAACCACCATGTGAAACCCCCCACATCCATCCTTGCTCACAAGTTGACTTTTAGCCTTAATCACTTCAGCCAGTTCCTTTTTTGGGGGGATTACTTCTGGATAGCTGATGTTTGGCCCAAAGGAGGGGAAAAAAAGCTTATTTAGGGAAGAATGTGGGAGTGAAGGGGATTTTTCGTGTAAGAATTTTCAGAAACCACTGGAAGCCTGTCCTGACCTCTGAGTGAGGGTGAGTTCTTGCTCTTGTGTCCAGGGTTGATGTAGCTCATAAGAAGTGCTTTAAGCTGTCATGTTTATCCAGCTGCTCACTTGATGTCACTTTGGCAAGTACACACAGGAGCCTGTTTTCTTAACAGGAGTGTAGCAAGGGCCCCCTTAGCACCTTTGTAGTAGGTGCTGCTGCAATGAAACTGCTGCTGGGCAGCACTTCTGCTAGTTCTTATATTGCAGGGCATCAAAGGAAAGAATCAATTTACACTGTATCCCTTGAAGTAAGGTTGCTCTGTATGGGGAGAAGGCTCTTCCAGCAGTTACCACTAATTAATTTGCTTCTGGGATTTAATTATAAATTCAAGGAACTGTCACCTTTGCAATAAACAACTAGATTTGTCACTTGATTCTGAGGCACTTATCTGGTGCCTCAGTGCTTTAATCTTGCAGTGAATCCTCAAAGCAGTGGAGGTAAAACTTCAGTGTTGTTCTCGCTAAGGGAACCTCCAATGCTGGCTGTCCTGAAAGAGAAGTTGTCATTACTGCAGAGTCACTTAATGTAGCAAGGAGAACAAGTGTCTGATAGCTTCTTTCCTGAGCATAAGCTTTCATTAAGGAGCTCATTGTTAAATTATAGGATCATTAAGGTTGGAAGTGATTACAAAGATCAAATCCAACCCATATCCCTCAGTGCCAACTCTAGTGGAATTTTTTTAATACTGTTGTGCCAAATTTCTTGTCTTCTGCAGATCTCACAGATGTGGTCCTGGTCACTGGTGAGAATGCTGTTCCATCTCTGGATGGATTGCTGGCTACACAGTCTGGACAAACAGAAGAACCATCCAGCAAAACAATGGTCCTGGTGACTCCAGCATCAGTGGCGTCATCTGTCAGGAGAACAGCTCTTCCAGCTGTGAGGAAGATCAGTACAGCTGTAACCTATGGGTTGGATCGGCTGGAGTCAGAAGGTACCACTGTTCCCAAGCCTAAAGGGCAGGCAGCTCCCTGTGGAGAGGAGCAATTATCTTGATAATGTGGGCTTCCAATTGGTCTGTCTGGTACATGGCTATGCATGTGTTACTGTTGATAATAAAACTGTTGGAAAACCTGTCACCTTCCAGGTGGTACAGGAAATGAGCAGTGAGGTGTTGTGGAGAATAACTGATTTCTAGTGGCTGTGGTAGGAGGCATGGGCTTTCTCCTGGGGAAGCAACAGCAGTAGCCTGGATTTGATCATCATTGGCTACTTCTGGGCATCTACTGCAGAGCCTCTACCAAACAAGCAGTCAAGGGAGCATCTTCAGACAGCCAGAGATCCCTCTGAGTGGAGGGGCTCAGCATGAGATGGCCACCTCAGTGTGCATCTCCTGAGATCTCGCTGGAATGCGTGGTGCCATACTCGTGCTCCTGTGGCAATGCTGAGGGAGGTCAAGAATGCATCCCCTTTGAGATGCTCTGCTAGTTCAGTTATTCACCAAAACTCACTGATGCAAATTCACACAAGGTTTTGATGAAGTGGGTCCTTTTCTAGAGTCTATCTACAGCCCTGCCACTGATCTCTCTGGCTCATCCATAACTTTCCTGTAGAGAATTGCTTCGATTCTTCCTGTTGTTTCTTTCACTCTGACTTTTCTGTTTGCTCATCCATCCCTATTTTGTACTCCAGTGTCTGGGCCTACACCACCTGGCAGGGATTAATCTTCCTGCCTGTTTTGCTCCCCTCCCTTTATCTTGACCTTCTCCTACCTTCACATTTTACTGCAAAGGTTGGCAGTCCTCCAGGGGTGGCATGCCAGATGGTATTTTTCTTCTGATCAGAGGTGGGGTGCCACAGACAACAGCTAATCAGCATCTTTTCTCTGCGTGAAGCAATAACTTGAATTCCTGTTTAGTTTGGAGGGCAGCAAAGGCAGGGAGCCCTCCCCTCTATGTGCAGGATGCTGCAGCTCCTGCCCTTTATCAGGCTTGCTGCTGGCTTTAAAACCTGCCAGGAGTGACAGCACAAGTTCCTTACCCTGATGGATCTCTAGTAGTGAAAAGGTGTGGATTCCTTGGCTCTGAGGCACAGCTCTGCAGGTGCCTGTCATCCAAGGGATGTGGTGCTCCTTGTTATACTGTGTGTTTATGACAACTGGCACAGCGTTTGTTTGGGCTTTTTTTTTTTTTTTTTGTGGTCTAAAACTTTTTGGAGTAACTTAGGCTTTGTGGTGAGCCAGAACTTTCTCTGGTGTTAGGGATCACCAGTCTACACTCTGTGAAGTGGGACAAATACCACTTGAGGACAGGCTTTCTGCCTGGAGATGCTACTGCCCCAGTTAAGCACAGAGGAAGCTTTGGAGCTGCAACTGTTTACTGGTATCTTTTTGTAATGGCATTTAGTGTGCACCTCCACCTCACTGTGGAGTAATATTGGGAAAGCTGATGTATTTCTTCCCAAATCACAATATCTAGTGCTTACTCTCAAATATCCACATGGTACCAGGTGCATTATGCTCAGGAGTGTTTTCCTACACAGCTACACTGAACTCTAGCCCAGAGTGCCTGGACTATATGTGGATGCAGGATCAGACATCACTGCTACAGACATAGTGAAGGTCCTGGGGAGGTCCTGGTGCTTGTTGACCAGTGGAAGAAGTGCAGGCAGCTGGGTGAGCTCAGCTGGCTCCCACAGTGCTCAGTGTAGCTTGCTACTTTGCCTTGCTGAGGGCCTGGCTCATCATTAAATATGGACCCCTGCTGTTCAGAGTTCTGTTTCTTGGGGACCATCTGTACCAAACTGCCTGCAGTTCATTGCATCAGCATATTCACCTGCTTGGCTTGGATATAACTTAAAAAAAAAAAAAAAAAAATCTCAAATTGCACAGACAAACATGAGGCATTTTGAATAGCTTTCTAGATAGGGTTGTCCTCATCTCTACAGCCTCTGGAGAGATCAGCAGAGTAATGAGCATATTCCTGCCTGGACTATGCAGTGAGACTGGTTCTACTTGCCCTTCCTAGCTGAAGAAATCCTGTAAGGGGATTATAGGATTTGAGGACAGGACACAGCTGAGGATGAGCCTTACTTGTCTGTGAGACTTAATGCTGCATTTTGTACCTGTGCCCAAAATTTCAGCATCTCTCTGGAAGGCCCTACATTGCAACTTTCTCTGGAGGACTTCAAGGATCCAAGGAGAAATTCTAGTTCAACTTATCTGTTCAGAATCATTCTGTAAGCTTCCCAGCACTTTTTGAAGTGGATCTATAAAAAGAAAACATCCAAAACTAGTCTACAACAGCATGTAAGCCCTAGGGCTGGTTCCTGTTCAGTCATCTAGGCTTATCTGAGCACTGCTGCTGGGGCTGAGCTGTTTTCGCAGGTCGGCATTCATAGGATACTTGTGGGAGATGCTCTGCCTGTTGTGTGATGTCAGGAGCAGGCCAATAGCTCTGCAAGCAGGCAACTTATAGCCTGAGCTGTATAGCTCTTGAATATGAGGTGCTCCTGATGAATCTGGCTAGCTCTCAACGTGTAGCTGATGAAGTCCTTGTTGCTATGGTGGGGGAGTAATCCTGGGATTGGAAAGGCACATTGAGGAGAAAAGGTTCAGCCAAGAACTGCATTGAATGAGCAAATATGTAAGTACAGATACAGTCAGCCTTGATTTGCAGCTTCTCTTGGCTAATAATGATAGGACTTCACCTTGGTTCTCAAATTATAAATTGAACACAGTTGTTCACACAGGTTAGTGCTGGTGTGAGGAGTACTAGGGTTGTGTCTATTTCATGGAGCCATGCTCTGCTGGTAGTAACAAAGTGGGATGAGGTAATGGCCTTAAGCTGTGCCAAAAGAGGTTCACATTGTATATTATGAAACACTCCTCAGAAAGAGTGGTGATGCACAGCTGCCCAGGGACTCATGAACTGTGGAGATGTGGCACTGAAGGATGTGGCAATATTTGTGGTAGGTGGATGGCTGGACTAAGTGGTCTTCGTGAGTCTTGTCCACCATCAATGACACTATAAAAATCAGCCAGTTACAGGCTCAGGAACAGGCCATGAGCAATGGGGAGACCACTCTCATGAGCCTTGCAACATACAGCTAAGCAAAGCATAGACCTTGGGCAGCTCCACATTTTTTTTTTTTTTTTTTTGACTTGGATAGGGAAAAATCAGTTGTAGGATGTTTAGATCATTTATGTCAGTGTCTGCTGGGTAGGACGGAGCACAGCACTGTTCCTGGTGAGCTGGTGCATACCTGTGTAATGCAGTGTTCTAAGATATGGGGCTGGACTTGCCTTTGGGATTAGCAAATCCTGTGTCCTGCAGCTGTATGGAACCTGATCACTGCATCTTGGCTTCAGATTTAACTCTGTTTTGCTTCACTGATTACATTAAAGACTTCTCCAGAACATGGAGCATATTATATAGCACAAAATATATCCATGGTACTTTAATGGCACATACTTAGTCCTTGGTCTTCTGTTTTTTAATGACTCTTCAAATTCTCCTTACTTCTAAGCCATTGCAGTACAAGGCACCTTTTTTCTAATGCAAAGTTTTACTTATTTTTAAATGGAAATCAAGGCTTTGAGTTCAATTGCTATTTGGACCCTGACTGTATGGATTAAGACCTGCTTCATTAAATCTCTGCAACCCCATTAAAAATTTAAATGAGGTTGCAGGGCTGTAAATAAGAAGGGCACTTAGCATCAGGCTAGTTAACCACACTAGGCTATAATTCTGCACCAGTCCTCTGGATATTAGCTGAATTGGCAAGGATCTGAAGATTTAAAACAAAGCACAAGCAAAATGAATTAATAATGTTTTTGGAGCACACTTCCTGTTGCTTGTAGCTCATTTCTGCTGCTGAAGTGAGAACTGCTGTCCCTGTAGTACAGATTGACCTTGATCTTCCTCTTGGAGGATGGCTGTTCACTCCTACTTCTTTGTACCAAAGAACCACATATCTAAAAAATTCTAGCACTTCTTTCTTAGGTACCTGATCCTGATTGTCACCACTCTGCAGGCTAGGTGGCCTGGTTCAGTCTGACCCATTCTACTGTTCTGGACAGGCACCTTGAAATTTCTAGCTGTATCTGACTTGTTATTTGTCTAAAAAATATTTTAAGGTTGTAGTTTTCCCATGTTTATCCCTCAGTTGAATGAAACAGCAGTTGACAGAAACCCCCTACAGATGCTTGTTGAAAGGTAATTGGGCTCTGGGTGAAGATTTTAATGAAGCTTTTGTTTCCTAATCTGGGGATTAGCTCACCCTACAGTTGCAGTGAGGTGGGTTCAGCTAAGCAGGTACGTGGCAGTTCCTTCTGAGTGCTCTGCAAGCAGCACTTCTGAGCTGCTGCTCTCTGGGGTCTCTCAGTGCTTGTAGGGCTTATGAGGCTTCCCCATGGCCCTTTGGGCATGGGGAGCAGGGCAGGCAATGCTGCAGAATGGTTTGGCTCTTTCAAAACCACCAAGATGACTTAGCTTCTGTATCCTGATACAGCTATTCCTGGACCTTCATGCTTTGAGTGGCATGAGGCTTTGTCTAGAGATGAGTGGGCTTGCAGTCATCTTCACCTTTGGTGTTAGGTAGGACTGGAGTTAACCTTGGTGTCCTGGAGGCTGTTGCCTGTAGTAACACTTAACCACAGTTCATGTCATCAGCAATGGATTCATGCTGGTTACACCTGTGCTTTTGTCTAGAAAGCAGCTTAAATCAGACACTTTCTCAACCCTTGGTTTGTTATTCTTTTCCCAAATAGAGTAGCTAAATTATGTACTTCTGAAGAGAGACCCTTGGCTTTCTTTGCAATGGAAAGAGGGATTTGTGTATGGGAACTCTTTTGTAACTGGGGGAGGGGGAATACCATGTTCACAGGCCTCTTCTGTAGGAAACCATTTTGTTGAGAGAAGTAAACTCTGCATTTATCTTCTTCCATTCTATCAACTTATAGGTCGTGGTAGTTAAATCTGGACTGATTCAAAT